GAGTTGCTCCACGACCCTCGATAGGATGATATTCGCCAAGCTACCTGGATCCACTAAAACACGCTTAACTTGAACTTTATTTAATAAGATAGAAATTACCAGAGTGTCATTGTGTGGTTGAGAAATGCCTTCTGCTTCTTCCTCGTTGAATGATAAGGAGCCCTCGGGCACATAATCCCGGGTCCGCTTCTCCCTAGTAATTGATACCTTAGTGCGTTTGAATACGGGCCCTTGTGGAAATCGACCCCGCCGACGATCATATGAATGACATGTTGTGGTTCCTCCTGTTCATTTTTCCTGTCGGCGTCTGTCTCTGAAATGATTCTTGGCTCGATCGCTAAGGAACTCTCGAAGGTGGCCCTCATTGAATAGACGGGCTACCTCCTCCCTTAATTACCTGCAATCCTCGGTCTTGTGACCATGCGTGCGATATTTGCATATCAAATTTGGGTTTCTTTGGGAAGGATCGGTCTGTATGGGCCTGGGCCATCTAGTATCTTTGATCCTTCCAATTGCCGATACAATGCCTGATGCATCGACGCTAAAGTTATATTATGATAACCGAGGTGCCTCTACGGGATCGGCATGCTTATCAAAACCACTTTTGCTCATAAGTCCTCGAGAATTTTGTCCTCGATCGTTTCTTCGATCATTCCGGGAGGGATTGCGCCCCAAGCCATTGTTCCTTCGATCTGCGGTGTATGGTTGATATTGTTCCCTGTTCGACCTTGGTTCCCTGTCGATGTCCCTCGGGGTTTTAACTGCCAACCTGTTTGGATGTATTGAACCGGAAGGGGTTCCTAATTGGTCGTACTCGACTCTGATCTTCGATTGATATCGATTGTGCACATCTGCCCAAGTTACAACTGGATACTCAACCAAATTTTGTTTCAACTGTCGTGACGCTATCGAACTCCGCTCGTTCAACCCCTGGGTGAAAGCTTGAACGGCCCAATCATCTGTGACCGGTGGCAACTCCATGCGTTCCATTTAAAATCGGGATACGAACTCCCTCAGCATTTTGTTATCCCTTTGTCTTATCTTGAAAACGTCCGATTTTCTTGTTGCGACCTTTATGGCCCCGGCATGTGCCTTCACAAAAGAATCTGCTAACATTGCAAATGAGTCGATGGAATTCGGTGGCAAGTTGTGATACCAAATCATTGCCCCCTTTGATAGAGTTTCCCCAAAAATTTTCAACAAAACGGACTCGATCTCATCGTCCTCTAAGTCATTTCCCTTTATTCCGCATGTGTACGAAGTGATATGTTCATTAGGATCGGTGATCCCGTTGTATTTAGGTATATCCGGCATACGGAACTTCTTAGGAATGGGCTTCGGAGCCGCACTCTGAGGAAAAGGCTTCGGCACGAACTGCTTTGAATCCAAACCCTTTAAGATCAGGAGGCCCCCGGTATCTGATCAACTCGGGAGTTATATGTTTCCACTTTTTTATCATTATCTTTGAGTTTCTCCTCTCCTGACTCAATTCTTTTGGTGAGCCTTCTCGGTTGTTTCACCGGTTTAAACCTGGGGTCAAGGCTTAGCCGATGTGTTGTTATCTCCGGTGGGATCCTTGTCATGTCTAAATGGGACCAAGCAAAACAATCCATGTTATTAATAAGAAATTGAATAAGCTTTTTTCTGAGTTCGGGGGTTAACCCTGTTCCCAGGTATACCTTTCACTCGGGAAGGTACTCGATTAATATAACTTGTTCCAGCTCTTCGACCGCTGATTTGGTGGCGTCGGAGTCTTCGGGAACAATGAAGGTTCGAGGGGTTAGAAAATCCTCCTCTTCTTCTTCTATCTCCTGCTTTCCCGATCCGGTCGAGACTGGTGGCTGTGATTGCTATTTGGTTTCCTGTTTACCTTTGATGCCCGACCTTTCCGTCGATACCGGTACTACCTCGTCAACTGCAAACATTTCCTTTGCAGCATGCTGCTCCCCATACACTGTTTTCACACCGTTCGATGTCGGTAATTTCATCATTTGGTGGAGAGTCAAAGGAACTGCCCTCATGTTGTGAATCCAGGGCCTTCGGAGTAGGGCATTGTATCTCATGTCGCCGTCGATCATATGGAACTTGGTATCTTGAATGGTTCTAGCCACGTTCACCGGTAGAGTAATCTCCCCTTTAGTCATTTCAATGGCCATGTTGAAGTCGTATAAGACTCGAGCTGCGGGCACAATTTGATCTTGTAGGCCGAGTTGCTCCACGACCCTCGATAGGATGATATTCGCCAAGCTACCTGGATCCACTAAAACACGCTTAACTTGAACTTTATTTAATAAGATAGAAATTACCAGAGTGTCATTGTGTGGTTGAGAAATGCCTTCTGCTTCTTCCTCGTTGAATGATAAGGAGCCCTCGGGCACATAATCCCGGGTCCGCTTCTCCCTAGTAATTGATACCTTAGTGCGTTTGAATACGGGCCCTTGTGGAAATCGACCCCGCCGACGATCATATGAATGACATGTTGTGGTTCCTCCTGTTCATTTTTCCTGTCGGCGTATGTCTCTGAAATGATTCTTGGCTCGATCGCTAAGGAACTCTCGAAGGTGGCCCTCATTGAATAGACGGGCTACCTCCTCCCTTAATTACCTGCAATCCTCGGTCTTGTGACCATGCGTGCGATATTTGCATATCAAATTTGGGTTTCTTTGGGAAGGATCGGTCTGTATGGGCCTGGGCCATCTAGTATCTTTGATCCTTCCAATTGCCGATACAATGCCTGATGCATCGACGCTAAAGTTATATTATGATAACCGAGGTGCCTCTACGGGATCGGCATGCTTATCAAAACCACTTTTGCTCATAAGTCCTCGAGAATTTTGTCCTCGATCGTTTCTTCGATCATTCCGGGAGGGATTGCGCCCCAAGCCATTGTTCCTTCGATCTGCGGTGTATGGTTGATATTGTTCCCTGTTCGACCTTGGTTCCCTGTCGATGTCCCTCGGGGTTTTAACTGCCAACCTGTTTGGATGTATTGAACCGGAAGGGGTTCCTAATTGGTCGTACTCGACTCTGATCTTCGATTGATATCGATTGTGCACATCTGCCCAAGTTACAACTGGATACTCAACCAAATTTTGTTTCAACTGTCGTGACGCTATCGAACTCCGCTCGTTCAACCCCTGGGTGAAAGCTTGAACGGCCCAATCATCTGTGACCGGTGGCAACTCCATGCGTTCCATTTAAAATCGGGATACGAACTCCCTCAGCATTTTGTTATCCCTTTGTCTTATCTTGAAAACGTCCGATTTTCTTGTTGCGACCTTTATGGCCCCGGCGTGTGCCTTCACAAAAGAATCTGCTAACATTGCAAATGAGTCGATGGAATTCGGTGGCAAGTTGTGATACCAAATCATTGCCCCCTTTGATAGAGTTTCCCCAAAAATTTTCAACAAAACGGACTCGATCTCATCGTCTTCTAAGTCATTTCCCTTTATTCCGCGTGTGTACGAAGTGATATGTTCATTAGGATCGGTGGTCCCGTTGTATTTAGGTATATCCGGCATACGGAACTTCTTAGGAATGGGCTTCGGAGCCGCACTCTGAGGAAAAGGCTTCTACACGAACTGTTTTGAATCCAAACCCTTTAAGATCAGGAGGCCCCCGGTATCTGATCAACTCGGGAGTTATATGTTTTCACTTTTTTATCATTATCTTTGAGTTTCTCCTCTCCCGACTCAATTCTTTTGGTGAGCTCCTCGAGCATTTTCATAACTGTAGGATCGGTCCATAATCCATTACCATTCGACCTTTCCGACACTGGCTCGGTACGGGGAGTGATTTCCGGCTCGACCACACTCGGAGTTCTATGTTGACTTTGAAGTTGAGCAATAACGGCCTGCTGAGCCTGTAGCATCTTGAATATTACCTGGAGACTAACTCCCCCGTCTCCTACGCCCTATGTTCCTTGGCCACCAGATCGGCCTTCCCTGCGCACACTCCCTTCAGGGTCCGCGCCTAAATTCATATTCAAAGCAATGTGCAAACTGATATCGACTGGATCGACGATCGATACTCCCCCGAGATTTGCTGGTGGCACCCCGGCTCCTGGAGCAATTACGTTGTCATTTTCCCCATGAAATCCAAGACCATCATCACCATGTACGGGTGCGTTTTGTGAGTTTGACATGCTTTAACCTGAGAGCAAAAATTCTCGACAAGAACAAGTGTGAAAATAACGCGTGTTATCAGAATCAGCATTGGAACAATCACTATTATCCTTAGCCCCTGCCAAACTGTTTACCCTAAAGTTTGAGTAACAATTAAACTTGTATTGTGGTTTTAAGGATATGTGATTTAATTCAACGCCAATTGATAAACAAGGGATTAAATAGACAAATTAAAGAGTGAAGTAGATCAAACCAGTATGTAGGCTAAGTCTCGACCTCGACCTGTGACGGTCTCGAGGTATGATTATGGGAATAAATGATAAAATAACTCTGAAGAACAGTAGGTAAAATAGCAAGAGAATAATGTACGTATATTTTCTTATCAGTGAACCGTGTTGTACAAATGAATGGGATCCCCCTTTATATAGTAGGGGAATATTAAATAAGGTACATTTCTAATAACAATAGGAAATCATATTTGACAGTTGTCTAACCGCCGAAGACCAATCCATTCCGAAATTTACGTCGTGATCCTCGGGCCGTTGCGGGCATCACGCTCCTTTCGTTACTGAATCATAACGGTATTGTCTCGAAGCATGCCTTCTTCCGACCTCGGCAAATGATATCAACCTCGTCATCGAAAAGGAGCTTCGACCCCGAGCTCGGCGTCTTGGCCTTCCGACGTGGTATCACTTTCTCCGTCGAAGAACAAAATCGGGTAGCCCCGATTTCCATCGTATTCAAAAACATGTGTTTTGATAAGTTAAGGTATTCAAATAAAAAAGTTAAAAAAGATTGTTTACCGGGATGAGAAATTGATGCAAGTTGTAGTGGCTATGAGTTCATTTTGCCTAAACTAAAAATAAAACATAATTAAAGTCCAGCCGCCATAAAACTAAAGTGAATGACTCGCAGCTGAAACAAATCAGCGAAGGTGGAGTACGACCCGAGGTAGTGGTAACGCCTGCAAACGAAGAGAGATGTTTGGAATCGTTAGCAATTGCGCAAAGGAGCGTCTCTTTTCCATCAGATTTCAGCTCTTTTACTCCACAGCTGCAGCAACTTTCCATGCTAATACATTGGTGGAATTTCTGGTGAACTCACTTGGCTTCTCCAACAAAGAAGCCATTTCTACAAGCTCCAAGGTAACTCGTTCGACACTCCGAAATTATGAGCCACATTTGTTGCTTGATCTCTTTGACAAAATGGGTATGAACAAAGCCCAGATCAAAACCCTTGTCTCTTCTTCCCCTGAATTGTTGTTTAGTCATATTGATAAAAACCTTAAACCCAAAATTAAGGTTTTACAAGAACTTGGCTTATCTGGGTCTGACCTTGTTACATTTATCAATAAAAGCGATTTCTTGACAAGAGGTTTACATACTACGATTAAACCCAATCTTGATTATCTTCGGGAGTATTTGGGCAGTTATGATGCAGTAGCTAGGGTTGTTAAGAAAGAGCCTAGGCTGCTTTCCAATAATCTCCCTAAAGTAATACCACCCAATATATTATTGTTGCAAAATCTTGGGTTTTCACAGATGGATATTGAGACGGTTTTTTATCGGCGTCCTAGGTATCTGCTTAATAACCCTGAGTGGCTTGAGAGGGTAGTAAATCGAGCAGAAAAGAATTTTCGCATACCTCGGGAGTCACGGATGTTTCTTCATGCCATTGAAGCACTCGTGTCACTTGATGAATCGAAATTAGAAAGGAAATTAGATATTTTCCGGAGTTTTGGATGGTCTGATTCTGATATATGCGCAATGGTACGAAAGCTTCCTTACTGTTTGACTTCATCAGAGGCTAAGATAAGAAGTACATTAAAGTTTTTCATGAACGAACTCGGGTATGAACCTAGTTATCTGGCTTTTCGTCCGACACTCTTAAAGTTGAGCTTGGAGAAGAGGGTAATGCCACGGAATGAAATCTTGAAATTTCTCAAAGAAAACCAGCTGGTAAAAGGGAAGCTAAATCTTTACACTGTTGTCATGTGTCCTGAATCCAAGTTTCTGGAGAAATATGTGCTGCCTTTCAGGGAGAAGATGCCCGAGGTGTATGATTTATACATGAAAACTAGAAGCTAAAGAGAAGTCTTTGCATCAGAGACTGTTGCTGCTGATAGTCGGTTATCTCTTAGGTTTATTCAGTTCTCTGATAAAATTGTACTTTCTCTTTAATGTTCTTGTCAAGCATAGTACTCCTTGTTTACTTTTCATCGCTGATGATACATAATTGAACAATTTCTTTTCAAAAAATTATGGAACGATGGGAACTAAAAATTGGGAGCAGTTTCATTTTCGATTCAACTGATGCTTCTTGTTCGATGAAAAAGGAAAGCAGTGTAGAAATCAGACTTGATGTCTATGGCATTGATATTTGAATGCTTATCTCAATCAGGACGGTATTTGTTCTCGTTGTAAGTGAAGTTTCTTACCTATATCTTTGTGATAGGACAGCTTTGCTCCTCGACCTAATTCTAACTTGACGATTTTCCTTTCTTTCCTTGTGTAGGCAAGTAGTTCTATTATCTTCAGTATATGATTGGAAAAGCACCTTCTTTCAAGCTTGGTCATATGTGGGCATGATGCTCTACATGCAGCATGTACTTATTGTTGACAATTCCGACAGGAGTTATAGGCCATTGTGTGTTGACAAGAAAAAACGGTGTTATCTAAGATATCTCATACAAGCAAATTTAGGATGACTTCTGTGAAAGTTGCTTCAGAAAACTAATTTTACTTTTGCTGTGAGCTTTATTTCGTTTCTTTTGCTGTAGTCATGTATATGGAATTCGGCATTGGTTGACTCTTTACTTGTCCTGGAAGGATGGAGTGGTTCATGGGTGTATAAGATAAAGTGAACCTAAGGTTTCCTCAGATAATGTGGCAGGTTTGGTGATCTTGGGAGATAGAACACTGCAAATTCAGAGCCAGAGAGCAACTTGAGTCAACTTTTGCAAACGCTTTGGCATCGGATGATTGTTTTGATGGGTAATCTTGACAAGAATGTTGACAAGAATATATCTGATGGTAGAGCTGTTATGAACTTATATCACTCATTCTTTAATTTAACATAACAACTCTAGAGTTTCTTCAGATTGAGCTTTCCCTTGTAAGATATGTGTAGATGGGAAACTACCAAGCTACATTGGCTTTGGTAGAAGTCTTTATTTATGATTCTTGAGTAGGACTTAGTTTTTGTAAACAATATTATTGGAATAACCAGCTGAATTCTTAAATTTGCATGAAAATAGGCCGGCTTTTATATTTGAGGTTTCATGTTTGAGTTGGCTGGTTTAGATTTTCTCTTTCATTTCTTCTGTTGCATGTACTTGAAGTTTTTTTGTGTTTTAAAGGGGGTAAAAGAATGAAGATAAAAGATCACATGATATCCACATGCGCCAATAAGTATTTTTCAGAATTGCTGCATACTTTTGCTTCCTCTTCTATACAAGCTGCTAGAAGCATTTCATATAAAACTTGTCTTATTATTGTTACGACTATTCAGTTCTCTTCATATTTAAGATTTCCTGCAGACCAACCATGCTTGGTATATAAAGTGGATGATTATGATAACAAAGTTTGCTTATGTAGCGATAGGAAAGGAGAAACTCTTGGTAGGTAGTGCTTCCCCTTTAAATGGGCCCTAAGTAGCGTGAGTTCAAGAAATTACACCTAATGATGTTGAAAATAGTCACTCTTGACTTTTTGACCCGCTGGTTGCCCCATGGACAAACCTTTAAGGTCCAAAGTCAAATGTGTTGTCTATGGGGCAAGCAAGAGGCAACAGTTGTTAAACTTGAAGCCTATGGGGCAAACGGGTAAAAAAAATCAATAGTGGCACCAAAGTGTCGTATTTCTGTCATTCATCCGCGCGAATTTGGATTAGTCGGGCCAATGAATTATGGAGACCAAATGGTTATACGAATAAAAAAATGCTTATCCCGAACACATACTCCATATGGAAATCTGTGATGAGCGCAACCAATGCTCTGTTAATTGTTAAGGGAATCTGTGATGAACAAATTGGTCATGTTTCCACTAGTTCATGACGCATTATATGCTTGTCAAGACTAGTGTTTTATCTTTTCATTGGTAAATTCAAAGAACATAAAAACCTCAATTTAAACAATTTCAAATGACCTTTCCATAATGAGCGTAAACATAACGCCGTGTAAAATACAAATATGTCATAAATCCAAGAGCACTTAGTCCACAAAGTAGCCAATAAAAGTAATCTAGATGTCCTTTGTTCAAGTTGTCTGAAATCCAACCATCTCTGCCTTTACCACCTGTTGTTTTCTCAATGACAAAGATGAGGAAGCTACTTAGAAAGCTCACTATACCAAAAATACTAAGGTAAAGAGAGAGACCTATGCTTCTGAATTCTCTAGGCACTTGATCATAGAAGAATTCTTGCAGACCAACCATAGTGAATGCATCAGAAATTCCAATTAAAAGATATTGCGGAACTAACCACCAGATAGTCATTGGAACTGTTGCATTTGGTACATCAGCGGATCCATATTCTCGTGCAATTTCGAGGCGCTTCTTCTCTACCAGTGCTGCAATTGCCATAGTAAGAACAGACAAAAAGATCCCAGTTCCGACTCTTTGGAGTTTTGTAATACCAGATGGAGTTCCAGTAATCGTTCTCGCAATAGGTACTAGGATCTGCTCGTAAATTGGAATGAAAATGACAATAGAAACGTTGATAAAGGACTGAAGGGCAGCAGATGGTATCTTGAATGATGGTGTTATTGATCTGTCCATTGTGACTGCTTGCTTTGTAAATAAGGTGAATGCTTGAGCAAATACGATCGCATATATCAAACACGACCCCCATATAGGAACCAGCCTGAGAAGTCCCTTTGCTTCTTCAACATCATTGATTTTAGAAATCTGGCCATCTTCAGCCGAATGATCATCAGGTGCAAGCAAAGCTTTGTTCAGAAACCTGTAAACAGACCTAACTTTCTATGAACTATAATTCTGTTTCCCAAGTCTCATTTTTATGGCAGAAGATAGTCTAGTATTATTCTGGTTAAGATAGAAAGAACAATATTTCCATCACACCATTTGCTTTTCTGGATAAAACTAACCACTTATCTGACTATTCAATAAGGCATATCAATAAAATTTTATAACTGACAACGGTTACCTGTTTTCCTGGGAATCTTGATGACACTGCACTCTTGTTTCTTCTACTGATGTCAGTACAGATGTCGCAAGCCAATTTCTCACTGCTTTGTTGAAAACCATGCCAATTCTCACAAATGGGCTTATTTAATCACATCTGCTGCTAAACCGATAAGTTAATGTACCAAGCCAAAAAATGACAAGTGCAAGGCACATGACAACGCAAGGAATGCCAAACCCAAGACCCCAATTAAAGTTGTCCTGAATGTAGTTCAGAACCGAGATGGTCACCATATTACCTCCACACATGCCAAAGTACCACCAGTTGAAAAATGAGCTTCTGGCTTTGCATTCTATGGGATCTAGTGGATCAAATTGGTCAGCTCCAAAAGCCTGAACACAAGGCTTGTGTCCTACCTGAGCTATTGCGACCAGATACAAAGAGAAAAAGAATAATACAACTTGGAGTCGAGGAGGAGAACATGCATCAGCATTATCAGTAGTTTGGCAGTTAGAAGAACTGAAGAAGGGGAAGACAGCCGAAAGCGTCAATAGTCCAAGTCCCTGTTATCATGCGAATCACAAGCACAAGTAGAAGTGATTGCCATTTCTAGATGGAATATTAGTCTGACTGAATTCAAAGACATTCTAATAGGCCATCCATACAAACGCTCAACCTTATCCAACATAATATATATGAAAAAGTATTACTAAAATCCTTAAATATTTTTTGATAACCAAGAAACCCCGGAGGGCTAGTGGCGCACCATTCGAAGCTCGTGGATAATGGGCTCGGTCATCTATCCCTCTCTACATAAATATCAAGCTTTTGTCTGTGCCACGGTTCAAACCCATGACGTGCCCCCAACCTACACATCACGTGTTGCACTTTTACCTCTAGACCAATGCCCTTGAGACAACTATAACTCCTATACATTTGAAGGGTAAAATTTCAACTTTAGAAAAGCTTGAGGAAGCCGCTGGTGGGTCCTAAATCCGCCTATGCTAAAGGGGGTAGTATTGCTCCTAAACTAGCTTTTCTTCCACAAAATAGTTCAAAATCTTATGACATGTTAAATCGAGGTTTAGAAATTTAAATCATAGAAAAATATAGACAGAAAAAAATCCAAAAGATGGGCTATATGAATGGGGCATATTCCAAATAACAGTAAGGTTCAGGTTCATAATTCTGTAAGGCACAATCTATTGTAGTTCTATTAGGTACAAGCTGGAAACTCAAAGAACATTCAAATAGGCAATGAGAATTCTTGATCTTAGGCAGTTTTGTACAATCCATGTCCGATCTACAAAATTCTCATATCGTGAACTCACATCATGCTTTTCAACACCATTTCAAATTCAAAAGACCAAAACTTTGTACAGAATAGGATAAAGGTTATTAGAGCATTGAGCATTGAATCCATAGCAATCAATTGAAGGACCACAGAGAACAATATCCCTCAATGATATTACCTTCTTTAGTAAACCCGAGTACCTATACAAGTATATTGATTTGAGGTCTTGTGGATCATTTCTCAGTGCCTAAGGCCAAGAACTTTGAAAAATAAGAGATTAACACTTACCAGAATGTAAAACAGAGAAGCAAACACAATTGTGCGATAACGACCGAGGAAGGAGTCAGCCACCAAAGCACCCAAAAGGGGAGTGAGCGATGCTGCTCCGGACCACGCATTCACATTCTCGGCAGCTGCCGCAGTGGACTGGCCCAGTGGCCCAGTCAGGTAATTAATTAGATTAGAATTTATTCCATAATATGCAAACCTCTCCGCTATTTCCACGCCTGCCATACACCAATAGTCGTAATAGTGTAATTAGCACTCTCTCTAAAATGAAAGATGGAGTTCATATTTTGAAGATCAAAACCAACATATGTTTCAGACTTGTCTACATATTGCGACGTGCACTAAGTTTTAATTCATTTTTTTCAGATTAATTAGTGCTAAATTCAAATTAGAGACAGCAGAAATCTAGAACAACACTCTAGATTATAGGATTTTCATAGTATAGAGGGTGTGTAAGTATTTTAATTCTAGGGTATCCAAAGCTGAGTTATATTATAGAGGTGTTTAGTGTAATTAAATCTAAGAAAAAACACCAAATCAATTCACTTGCTGCTGTCAATATCAAACAGCCAATCTGAGAAACTCTTCCAGTTAGTCTATATCCAGATTTAGCACATGGTTTCAGCTAACTAGGACAAATTGCTGACTTCACTAACACAGTGAATTCCACTTTTTTTCTTTTTATAAGAAGAATTGAACTAATAATTTTTAAAAATCTAATCAGAAATATTTGTAGCGAAAGAAGTAGTTTACAAAATATTAGTAACTATGTAATGTCAGAAATGAATAACGGAATACTAAAAAACGGAAAAGCATATCAAGTAATGTGATCTACATATTATGAGAGAAGCGGATCGCCATCAACCGGAATTTGATCGGTGGACCGGACGGCCGTAGTAGTCAACGAAATCTGGAACGACGTCGTTAGAAAGAGTTGGAGTTTCAGTCTCCGGCAATAGCATAGCTGCTTCTTCTTCTTCTTCTCCTACAATTGGTGGTGATGAGGAAATATCCATTTTCAGTAGCAGAAGAAGCTACACTGCTTGAACTGCACGCATACAATTGAATGTAGTTGACAAAGCTATATTGAGGGCGTTTGCTAAATATATACGTATATGTTGTCACTTGTTAGTGGCGTCACTCGCACGTTGCAGCAGAGAAATTTTAGTTTTAAAACACACACAACTGTGTGAGGACACTTTCTACGTTTGGCAAGTGGGGATGAAGACAGAGAGATGGAGCCACAATTTAAAGTTTATTAGTTTTTAACTTGCTATTGAACTCATAAGTAGTCTTAGTTATTGAGTTTGTAATTAAATTTTTTTGTATTTAATAAAAAAAATAATATAAATATAGGGACTAAGCAAAAGTTATTGGATTCGTTCGAATAATCTAGCTCTGCCTCTTAGCATACTGTTAGTAATCTATATTCAAAAAATAAATTTCGCAACCTGTAAACAAAACAGAAATGTAGAAGAAACAGAAATAAATCTGAACTCACTAAATTGACAATGTGTCCTTAAGGAACTTAATCTCCTCCTAGTA